GGGTGATTTGTAATAATGTAATGTGATTATATGATGGTTGCGAGAGAATGGTTCACGGAAACACAAGTTTTCTCGTCCACAAGGGAGGCCAGGTCTTAATTTCTCGGAAAAGCGCAGCGCGGGGTGATTTGATTTGTAATAATGTAATATGATTATATGACGGTTGCGAGATTATGGTTCAAACCGTGATAACACGGTAGCAATTATGTTTGACGATATATAGATGTATATGTATATATGTATAGATTATATATGTATAACATATATGTATAGATTATATATGTATAACATATATGTATAGATTATATATGTATAACAGTATAATGTATATATTTATATATTTTTTGGCCGTGGCGAAAATTACGAAACTGGTCAATTGCAAGACAAGCAAGCGGAATTATCCTCCAGAAAAAAAAGAAAAAAAAAACACCAAAAGAAAGGATCAAACCGTGGAACAAACCGTGGAAAACACACAAAAAGACAACGGTTATCCAAAATGCAAAAGCAAACAAAAAAAGGCTAAGCAAGCGGAATGCCCTCCAGGAGTAGAAACTGGGGGAAAAAAAGACAAAAAATAAAAAGTTTTGAAAAGAAGATAAAAACCATGCAATGGCTTATTAGGGTGACTCAGCGCACAACCATCGCAGAACTTTCCCTATCGAATCTGATCTTACTTCCAGTCAGATACATTCGGGAAAGTCCTATTCCCCAGAGTATGCCCTCATCAGGCCGAAGTGATTGGTACTCTTGTTGCAGTGGTGGGTCTCCTCCTCCTCCTCCTCCTCCTCCTCTTACTGTTGTCGCAGTGGTGGGGCGCTTCCTCCTTTTCCTTCTTATCTTCCTCCTAACAGTGCGAGGAGATGCCAGTGGTGTGAACAGACATCCTCCTCTTCTCCTCTTCCTCCTTTTCCTCCTCCTTTTCCTCCTCCTCCTCCTTTTCCTCCTCCTCCTCCTCCTTTTCTCCTCTTCCTCCTCCTCCTCCTCCTTTTCCTCCTCCTTTTCCTCCTCCTTTTCCTCCTCCTCCTCCTTTTCCTCCTCCTCTTACTGTTGTTGCAATGGTGGGGTGCCACCTCCTTTTCCTGCAGTGGTGGGTCTCCTTCTCCTCCTCCTCCTCCTCCTCATGTGGGGGGGAGCCTCCTCCTTTTCCTTCTCCTCTTCCTCCTAAAAGTGTGAGGAGACGTCAGTGGTGTGAACATACATCCTCCTCTCCTCCTCCTCCTCCTCCTCCTCCCCATTCTTCTCCGATGGTGTGAATGGTGTGAACAGATGTGGTTGTTTAAGTCCTTGCTGCAGTTTTTTGTTGTCACGATTACGCTGGATTGTCTCCTCTACCTCCTCCCTGTGTCCTTACTGCACTGCAATCACATCTTCTTTCACTTCTTCCTTTTCTTCTTCCTCATCCTTCTTCTTGCTCGTACCTCTTCCTCCTCTTCTTCTTCGTCTTCCTTCTGCCTCGTCCTCCTGTCCATCCTCTTCTTACTCGTGCTTTCTATTCTCCCTTGTCCTTATACCTCGTTCTCGGCTTCCTCCTCGTTCCCCTCTTCTTCTTCTTCCTCTCCTTCCTCTCCTTCCTCTCCTTCCTCTCCTTCCTCTCCTTCTCCTCTTGCTCCGCGTCTCTCAGCTTCATCGAAAGTGCATGGAGATGTAAGCGCTGTGAACAGACATCCTCCTTTTCTTCTTCGTTGTCCTCCTTTTCCTCCTTCTTCTCCTCCTCCTCTTCTTCCTTCTCCCCCCCCTCTCTCCTCCTCTTCCTCCTCCCAGTCTTCCTCGGCTTTGCCAAAGGCACAAGGTTGTGTCCAAGCTGTGAGCAGATGCGATTGTTCCACTCTCGCTGCACGTTGTTGTCATCGCAATTACGCTGGATCATTCCTCCTCCCCCTCCCCCTTGTCCTTATTCATCTGCAATTTCTTCTTCTTCTTTCTTCTTTTCCTCTTCTTCCTCATTTTTCTTCCTCATTTTTCTTCTTCCTTCTACCTCGTCGTCCTCTTCTTCTTCTTCTTCTTCCTCGTCCTTCTACCTCGTCCTCCTTTTTGTTCTTCCTCTTCCCCCTCGCCGTAAGCATTGTTGAAAGCACACAAGGAGATGGATGTGACTGTCCAGAGTTTGATCATGTGTCTTCTGCCTCTTCTTCTTCTTCTTCTTCTTCTTCTTCTTTTTGATTATGTGCATTCTTTAGAAAGAGCAAAGAATAGCAAGAAAGGAAAAGAGCAAATGAAAGGATAGCTGCCAGCATGTACCTCTTCAGATAGCTCTGCCCGAGCACAGTCTTCGAGAGAGGTATGCTTCTTGGAAAGTCCCCCGCATGGGAATCCATATACCATTTCGTTTGGTCCCTGTAATGATAATAAAAAACACATGGCAATTGCATTCCACATCGCAGTAATGCAATTATTCAACTCCGAATCAGCATGCAATCACACACCATGGTGACCACGCACAGTAGAACTTTCGTGTGAGAAGGGACACTGGACAGCGAGAGATGAAAACCAAAGTCGCTCACTGAAATCCACACCGAATTATTGTGCCATACAAAGAAATTGTTTGTATCCTCCAGCGGCACCTGCCACACACCAACCAAGTACGAATCACGTATGTGACTGCTCTCCCTCTCCCTCATGTGTGACTCTCCCTCACTCTCTCATGTTTTGTATCGCTCAACCTCCCTGTCAGGCTCATGCTCTCCCTCTCCCTCATGGATCCACCCTGAATACACCTGCGATGTACCTCCTCCGAACCTCTGCGGCTATGGCCGTCTTCGTCCTCCTCCCTAGCTTTGGTAAACCAGACGTCTCCTTCCTCGCTGGGCACTTCCTCCTGTGCTAGCGCCCCCTTCCATCCACATCGCACTGTCGCACAAGCAACCCGCACCGCTTCCGCAATTTGCACATGAGTAGTTGATCCCGCTGGCTGGTGCTGCTGGGCTTTTATACTTGCTCATATGCCTTCCAGACATCTTCCGTTGGTTATGGGTTGGCCCTCCCTCTTGCCTTTGTTCCCTGCTTCTGGAAGCTCACATACTTTCTTGGGTTGGCTGCTTGCATGAATCGACTGACACCTGACCTAACGGCTCTGGTGATCCTGGCTGAAGTTGTGCTGTGTCCTAAAGACAGACTCTTCAACCCATAACTGTTATCTACCAGGGACTTCCTATCACGATCTACTTAGCTACCGGTAGCGCCCCTACGCCTCTGCAATCATGGTACAAACGAAAACTGCTCTTCTAGAGTATTTGTGCGCATTGTACAAGTGGCTGGAACCACTAATAGAACACAGAATGGGATTCAGGTCCAGAGCCTGGGACTCAGGAGTGGGACCCGGGACTCCGGACTCAGGACCGGGACCTGGGACTGGGACGTGGGACTCTGGTATAGTGTGAAATCCTTTCACTCCCGCCGGCCTAATTTTGAGGTTCTCCGAGAAAGCTCATTGTAAGACACAATATGAGGCGCAGTCTCCATCAATTCATCCCTACGCGCGATGCTATGTTCTTTACTTAGCATGAGCGCCAGGAAGTTGGCAACATTCATGTTTTCTTGTAACGAATCTGGCACAAACGTAGGACCACTTTCATGCTTTTTTGGCGAAAACTTACTACCAGATACATGTTTGCTTTTCACAAATTTAGCACCACATTCATGCTTTGTTAGCACAAGCATAAGCCCACTAATGGGCTCTGGCCCTTATAAGGTTAAAAACTTTGTAAGATAAAGCAAATAACACGAGGACGGATAGAAAGAAAGAATGCAAAGGGGGGAAGCGAAGAGGGGAGGGGAAGGGGGGGAGGGGAAGAGGGGGAGGAGAAGGGAAAACAAACAAAAAAAATAGAAAAAAAACAATGCAAAGGGCCTCACCTGTGCGTACTCGCGGAGGAGGGTAAACGTTTTCGTCTCTGAGTTGAATGGAATTGCAACGCAGTAATGAAATGACTCTGTTTTTGCACCCACAACATCGAACTCAACAACACGTCGTTTTGCAGACCGCTGACGCTGCTTTGATGTCCTGGCATCTTCTGCAGGCAAGCTGATGCATTCGACGCCGTTTTCTTCCGTTTCTTGATTGCCTTCATCGTCAGGGTACTGTGGCATGAGATCAATTCACAGATAGGAAGAAACATTATCCCGACGACCCAAAAAAAAAAAAAAAAAAAAAAAAAAAAAAAAA